TTTTGCGAAAGAAACCCGAACAGTCGGTTGGATGTTTGCATCTTCGAAAGCGTATAACTAGAGATTGAAAAGACAAGCCTCGAAGCAATCGAAAATCAGTAGACGAATGGCATAACCCCAATATACATATTTGGGAGAGGTTAAAGAACACAACGACTGAAACAACGTACCATCATTAAAATTCTGCTGGTGATTTGCATCACCATAAAGGACATTTTTGATGTTGTTTGACACAGTACCGTAGGTAGCTAACAATGCGGAAGGTAGATTTGCTTTAACATATATTGTTGTACCTGCTGGACATAGGTAAATGTAGCAATGGTACTATCGGCAGTTCTCATTGTTAGCCGCTGCAAACAGTGAACGGGGTTATTCATACGAACAAGCATAGATTTCTCATGAAATTATTTAATGCACTACCTAGCAGAGCTATTGATTGAAAATGCTGACATCATCTATCATCGGCTGCGTAATTATTACAAACCATAGAATTCCCTCTAATAACGTATTATAATAAACATAGAAAAAGATAATGGCACAGATATCTCACTAGATAGGAGTCGTACTTCCTGTAGCAAACAAAGATAAAAGCTGCTGCAATTTGCTTTGGCTTGGACGCGACTATTCCTAGCGCATTGAAATCGCACATTTCCACAGATTGCAAAATGTACAAAGTAAAATAAAAAAATAGATATAGTGACCTAAGCTGGGAAGATCTCAGGCAGGAATGATCTATAAAAGGCGCCGACCAACCAACGATACATCGTGACTGTTCGGCCTTGACACTGAGTAAGTGTTGCTCAATGGTAAAATCGCTCATGTACCTCAAGGTACACATATGCTGTTCGGTTCTGCAACCTTTTACATGTTACCTTAGGTCATCAGTGGTTCCTATCGATGTATGGGCTCCAAGTTGCACGAAACCGATTTCCTAAGAATGTTTTCAATCTCATGATCTTCGTTATCTGCACATTATATGCTAATAAATACCAACTCCGCATGATTTAACGTGTGCTTGATGTTATACTGGCTAGACAAAGAACCCAAACATACACAGGGAGATTCTTGAATGACCAAAACATACAGTAGAGTATACAGGGTTATTCAGATTATACGGCACATAATAATGCGGCTAAACTATTTAATTTTAAACAGTTTATTTTATGGATTAATGGAGGCCCGTTGGGATACATTTTACATTTTTTTTTAATTATTTTCTAATGTACCGGGTGTCCCAATTCAAAGCCCAATCAACCCAAAGATGCATTTTTTTAAATGTAATGCCCTGTATATTATTATGTTATTAGTGTCTACGATCGAAATAAACCTGAGATCTATTAAGGTTTATTTTACTTAAATCTTAGAATTTTTGAGATATTTGAAATTTTGTAAAAACGGAATTTTTTTTCTTTTTAGCTTAAATTCTCAACCCCGTTCGAGCCGAGGCTAAAAAGGTTTTGTGCCCTGGGCGCGAGTTAAGCTTGCTACGGCACTGCCTAAAAGTACGAAAAATGCGTTTCCTAAACATCCAAGAAATCCAATTTCTGTTGGTTTTTTCGAAACTAGATATTTACATGGTCGCGTCAGGATTATTATTTCAATTCAATCAAACAAGCTTTTGTAATTGAGTATGCATATAAAGTATTTATTATATACACATGCGATACAAAAGCCTTTTCTCCTTATTTTTATAATTGCTTTTACTTGGACAAGTTATAATCAAATACTAAGCTTACCTAGAAAATTAACACTTTATCGAACAGTAAAATGAAGTAGATCAGATAGTAGGGATCCTATTCCACACTTAGACAAAAAGTGTGAAAAAAAATCGAAGTCTAAATAGTGATTCTGCATCAGTTTATACCTAAAAAAACGTATCTTGAGGACGAATCTAAATATAAACCATCGTAGACTAATCTGTAACATTTTACGATTTTTGGAAATAATAGTCAAGATGAAACTGACGACTTAATTTACGACGACCTAAAAAAGTGAAAAACTCATCAGCGAAAGCTTCTTTTGAACAGTCAACATTTTCTTTTTATTAGTTCTACATAACGCAACTTCCACTCTTTAAGAGGCGAGGAAAGTTTTAGTTTTTTTTTAGATGTAGGTTTAGTTGGTCTACTTAGAAATTATATAATATACATTTCTGAAATGTTGGAATTCAACATAGGGTTTTTGTTTCGTGAGTTTACATTTAATTACAAATGAAGAGTTTTTCGTTGTCCGATAATTGATAACTTTGAAAGGGAAAGGAATACTTTTTTCTTGGCGTAGCGGAAAAATAATTTTTGGAATAAGATAAATTTACTGGTTTCGGCGGGATTTAAACCCGCTACCTCCATGACTCCGGCATGATGCTCTAAGCTACGAAGAAGACAGATTCGTACCCGCCTTCGGACAGTAAAGCTTTCTTGACTCCAAATACGGGGTGGTATTTATAAGTGTGCAATTTCAATCAGCTACTACGGAAATTTTCATTTAATGTTAACTGCATTTTAGAAAGAAAAAAGTTTGTAATTAGCCAATTTTAATTTTGCCTCAATCGTCTTCAATGGTCTATTAAAAATCGCTTAATTAACGAAACTATTTGAATTTTAACCTATGGAATTTTCAAATTAATTAGTTTCTAGTAATTATATATCGCTTCAATCTTATTTGGACTTAAGTTCTGATCACTCTCCAGTCAGTTCTAAAGTAATCTACATAAGTCAACATGTGAAATTATGCAGTGCACACATAGACTGGAACTTCTATGAGAAATACGTAGATGCTAATATAAATCTGCAAAAATCCTCAAACGCTTATTGCGGGAACGAAAAAACGAGATTTTCCAAAAGCTACTTCCAATTTTGACACCCACAGAATCCACCAACTATTCACTGTGGAAAGCAACCAAATATTTGAAACGCCCCTAACAGCATAATCAAATCAGAACTGACAGGGTGAGAGTCGAGGATAGAATAATTTCTACTCATAATAATTTAACATAAATTCCTGTCTTGAAATCTGCAGTAAACTACAGAAGTTGATACCTAATTTCTATTACAAACCGAACTACTCACAGAGATCATTGGTCATTTTACATTGAGATTTGTATTCGATAACTTGTTCTTAAATACTTCATTTAATATTTTTCTAAAAAAACATAAATAAATAAAAGCTCTTAAGATTGATTTAATGCAGTTAAAATTAATAAATTCTTTATTAATAGATTTGGATCTAAAGAGTCACTGTAAAGCAATTACAACAAAGTACACTAACAGTACAGTCGCTTAAGATAGCATTATTCAACTTGAATGAATCGCAATATTGCGATTTCATTTTTTTTATGAGCAGTGCATAGTGCTTTAAATTATCAAACAAATAAAATCATAATCTATAATTATTCGTTTTATTCGATGGCACAGATTCATATCCGGTTGCTTATTTCCAGGCGATTAAAATATTTATTTTGCTAACCTGAAAATTGACTTTAATTTTTACACTGTTTTCAGTTTGAATTCTTTTTCAGTAGCAAAATCGATATTTCGAAAGATTACTTTAAAAAATCCAAATCAATATTGGGGCTTTTTGAAAATTGATATTTCTAAAAGTGTCCACAGCATTGGTCAATTTCGATGTAATTAAGTGAATTTCACTAGGAAGATTTCAGGTTACACTAAATTTGAATAGGACGCTTTCATTTATAGAATTCGAAGTAACCCATGTGATTAATGAAAGAGTTGCGAGAATGAAGTGGCTGTGAACATTTACAAAATAATGCGGCAGATAAATCAATTCCTCGAAAACGGATATCGAGTGTTTGAAATTAATGTCAAATAATTAAATACCCAGTTAAATTGATGTACCAGCATGCTGTAAACAGCACGGATACGACTACAATGTGCATAATGCGCGGTTTAAAATAATACATCATTCATTAACCTTAGCTTCATTGTTGCCTTTCAATTTCATAACAGTAAAGTGCATCTCTAATAATACAGGGGCTTCTCTATGAAACTAATCAAACGAATCGAATTCTATTTTGATACTATGAAAATATTTACTTTTAATTTTCATAATATAACGACTCAAAGCAAATCGCATTCATAAAAAAAACCGAATTTAAATTCCATCGACCTCCAGAGTGGCTCCCACAACCTTCAGTAATGGAAAATGCATTGAATCACATCAGAATCGAGTCACAATTGCAGCGAAATTGCTTATTAAATCATTCTGCTTTCGCTACTCTAGATTAGGAGCAAGTTACCATCTACGTTTCTTCAATGATATTAAGATGAGAAAATTACAAAATTATCAAACTCTAAGGGAATAGCGATTTGAGAATTGCATCTAAGTCAGTTAGATAATAGTTGAAGTTTCCGATGGCTGCTGATTGAATTGATGGTCATATCATGTTGAAGGTCTAGGATTAACTAGGAAATCTGTAGTTTTTAGGAAGCAGGATTTTTAGATAAACGTTAAATGATTTACTCGTGGGGGTGAGTGATCACTGTGGCAGTTTCAAATGGAAAATGCCGGAATGATCCACTGACTTACGTGGAGCTTTGATATATGAAGATAGAACAACAACAGAAGATTATATTATTATAAGCATATAACATTGTCGACTTTCAACTCGCAAACCTCAGATTCGTAAAGTTTCGTCCTATGGTAATAAAGTTCTTGAATACTGACTGCTAAACGACTAAGTCGAAATCCTTAATTGTACTAATTGTATTTACTGCATAAATGTTTATGATCTCTCGCACGAATAAATAATGTCGACCAATACATTATGCAGACTGGTGGAAGTATGAAAATGTTCCATAAATTCAAATCCGTATAATGGCAATGCATTTCTGCAGATGGCCGCAATAAATTTGCGTATGTGTAATTGAGTTTCTGTCTTCAGTAGCTGCTGCGTCCAAAATCCCGAATATTGATAGCTTTGATAGTGGCCTTGACAAGTAAATGTTTTCTAATCTAATCACTAATAACATTATTTTTTCCAGAACTTATTGCCATTGCTTGCTGGAGTTAGCGATGCTTCAGCCACGCCAACTAAATACCATTATTATCCCCACAACCAACACATATATTTGCTACCAGAATGTGCAATTCAACAGGTAATTTCAAACATCATTTTATCTTGATGCAATTTGTTTCAAGTCAGATTTTCGCTTCAGTGTAATCAATTGTATGTTTCTTAGGTTTGCACTGCTGTATACGTGAGATTTAACTGGACTCAACCTTTATGCGCTTGCCCCCCAAGATACAAGAACCCATGTTCGGTTTCTCTTAATTCGGATGACCTGCATACTACAGAGCTAAGCATCAATAGAAAATCAAGGGTAAGACTGTTTTACAACAACGATTCCATAACGGTTCCAAGTTGGTAATGAGCTACTATCAACATTTAGGCGTGATATTGATTGTTTTCTTTTCTGGTGAATACAGGGAACAATCGAGATTAAGCCTAAACCGTTGAGCAAAATGCATGCAATCCAAAATACATCATTTCGAGTTATCGACGAAAAACCAAATAAATTAATTCAAATTAAAGATTCCGATATGTATTATACAGGGTGTCCCGTAAGCTCATGATCAAAAGGGTACTCCGATATTCTTTGGACCAAAAGAAGACGATCTGACCTAACTTTTATTAACAAAAAATGTCTGGCTCCTCTGCTATTGATGGTCAAAGTTCTTCCAAGCAATTATTTTTTTTGAAATATCGGTAGAATGGTACGATGTATTTTAGTGAAACTCGCTGTGAATTTGTTCTTATGTAAGACTCCAATTTTGATGAAACAATCGAGTTCAGCCGTTTTGGAGAAGTGGTGAATTCTTGAGTGTCGTGGTACAAAAACTACCAGAACTTTTTAGTTGGAGGATGAAATTAACTCATTATTTTTTACGTTGATGCACTAATCATTTATTCACAATTTTGTGCTCTTTGTAAAATCTTGTAGCATTCATAGTTTTTGCGAAAAAAATATTTCTGTTTCCTTGCCACTTAACAATGTTAGACATTAACTGCAACTTTGATCATGAGCTTACGGAACACCCTGTATACTAACTTTTTTCTGGTGCAAAATTGTGAAATTCGGAAAATGGAAAAAGGAGCTACATGATTATTTTTTGTTTCGTTTATTTTCTTCACAAAAATTATATTTCAATTGTCTAGTATTTCGTATTAGTAGTCTCGTATTATTATTTTACGACTTACGCATAATTATCATCCTTTACGTACGGCGATTCAATGACAAGATTAAATTATTCAAACGATTTATCAAATTATGTGAAAATTTGGAAAATAATTACAAACTGCAAAATCTTGGATCAAAAGTGTGTCCTCCCAAATCTTGTCGCAACTCACTCAACTGAAAGACCTAAGGCAACCCTTAAGAAAATTAATTTTGACTAGAGAATTATTTAATCCTCAGAGGGCATTTCACTATTCTCTCCAGTTCTCTCAATTCTTTGTTCTTTCTGGACTACATTGTTTGCGATATTAAATGTATTCATTACATTACACGCTCAACAAAGACATGTATTCTATCGAATACCGAATAAGAACCAATAATCGAAGAACCAATAAAATGACATAATAAAATGTGTAAAGTTTTAAAAAGGAAATAAAAGATTCCGATATGTATTACATACTAACTTTTTTCTGGTAAAAAAAATGGTTTCTTTTACTTCGGATTTGCAATTTCCATTTCCAATGTGTACCTTTATTCAAATTCACATAATGTTTTCTAAGATGCACACTTTCTCAAGGCGTTTTCAAGACTCGGAAAAACTGTGTTATTTGGTAAAAAACTGTGCAATCCCGAACAGGAAAAGTATTTTTTATAACCAATCCGCATTTTTATTTCTCAGTTTCTCTTCAAATGTTCCTCTATTGTGCTAATCCTCAAAATCCTAACCGACTATGAAGATTCCGAATGGAGGCACTGATTGTGCGTTAACATGCAAACATTGATTTTAAAATTTTTTCTTTTTCCAATCTAAAGAAACAAGAAACTATCAACAACTACTAAAGCCCTAAAGAGATGAAAAGCCACTTAACATGTTCAATGCAAACAACAATTATGAGCTTACCCTTAGACCTATATTACGATTTATTATACCAATTATATGCACGCAAACGAAAGCTTTTGCAATATCCTGAGGACACAAATGAACCCTTGAATGTTGACATATGTAATTTTACAGAAGGCCCTCACACTGGCAAAGACGTGCGAACCGACCAGTGAAATGAGAATATGCAGGGCTCCTAGAGACTGGTCCTTGCTCGCTTTGCAGAATATCCGAACAGGAAAATCTCATTATCTGGTGATTTGTAGATGTCCTGATAGTAGCACTTTAGGTAAAATTATTCTGAATTTCATTGAGTTCTGAACTAATGGGTACTTTTAGAGGGTCCGATGTCGCATGATCAACCAACATATGCAAGTGTGCCGGGAATAAGAGTCTATGGAATGATGTGCATAGATAACAAACGCAGAGGAAGACCATTAAGAACCACACGAAGCCTTGAAATCCCACCATTCCCATGGAAAACGGCTAAAGAATTGGCCGCAACAGTAGTATGGAACTAAGAAGATCGCAATAACCGCTATATAGATATGGTCGGTTGTGATGACATTAAATCTATTTAAATCGAAATTAATTGATTAAATATTTATCGCCTATTTACTGGTAGAATGTACTTTTAAGATATTTTTAACCTAATTATTGAAGTAATTATAATTGCAGTACAGTAAGGTCCATAAATCTTAAGACGATCTCATCGGTAATCTTTCATGTTTAAACATTGAATCTTGTAGATGTAGGTGAACTTCGAGTACCTAATTAAAACTCATTAAAATTGTTTAAATCACGTTTAGAAAATCCCTCTTCTGCAATTTTAATAAATTGACCATTTTCTTTGACACATAAAAAGTAGATTAAATTAAAAAAAAAAATTTAGCTGCGCTGTATGTGAACTCACGGTTAGTGAACAATGAATTATAGCTATAAGACAGATAAACTGTAAAATATTAGGATTTACTTGGCCATATTTAAAATCCTGCTTTGGCAATAATAAGTTGTCAAGGTAAAGTGTGTGTTTTCGCGTGCAATATTACTCCCACTCTGATCAATAGAAGTTACAAAAACTCAATACAGCCATCCACTTTTGCATGCTGGAATGTTTTTTAAATGTGGCTAAAATTGAGGGTTTTTCACCATCGCATTTCAATAATATTAGGCATAGCACCGTAGTCGGACTTAGGGTACTTATTTTCATATTTATTATTGTTGAATCGTCGATTAACTTCGAACCATAGCGCAAATTCATGTATATATTTTAACGCATTAAATCGTACCTACCTTTTCATAAATGGTGTTTTATTTTAATCGACCTTTCCTTTCGGAGAAGCTGATACTTTTTGATATTATTTCACTTCAATCAATAATTTGGTCACAAAATATGCAACACCAAAAATATATACATATTTTAACACGAGGAGCTGAGAAACACAAGTCACAAAATAGCAATTCTAGTTAAAAAAAACTAATATCAGGAATAATTTAGAAAACTCTAAATTATTGTATGATCTGTGGCGAATCCAGGATTTGATCTGGGAGGGCTGAGGTCATTAAATAGTTACATCGTTGTATCGACACACGGTGGGGTATTTGATATCCATTTCTGATCGAAATTGTTTTTTAATTAGATATTTTTTCTACAGGGTTAGTCAAAAATTTTGCAACAGCCAAATAGTTCAGAGGATTGCGTGAAATGTTTTGCAATTTTGTACACCGGAATTTACTACTTGAAGAGTATACTTGATGCAATAATTATGTGCACAAATTATTATATAATTCCTCCCAAATGCCCAAACTTTCATATTTGAAATAATATGTTTTTGTTTCATGTTTAAATTGCTTGCATTTTAAAAACTAAATAAAAACACATTATTTTCATTTAAAATAGATTGATTGAAACTCTAAGAAAAAAACTATTGACTTGGCAACTTCGTCAATATTAAACTTAAAAAGTTTTTACGTAATAGTTACTGAAATATTACGCTGTTTTTGGACCTTTGACTTGCATACAAGCTTTTATAGAGAGATTTTAAAACCTTAAATTTTGACATTACTTTAATGCTCTCCCATCGTTATTTCGATAACGATGACCATGAAAAGCCGACCAACACAAATGACATTTTTTAAACGCTTAATATGAATTTTTCCCAGTTTGCATGTAAAAACACAGTGTCGAATCAAAATAATGAATTTACACATAAAAATTCAGAATTTATTTATGATTCGCTCCAAGTCGTATCTTTGACGTAAAATTAAAATAAGCCAAATAATCCAGATAAACAAATGCTTGACAACGTAAAATTAACAAGTTTTTATTCGAATTAATCGAAAAGTGCCATTTTTCGATCAGAAGCGATGGTCAAAATGAAGCACTTTTCTTTAGGGTTCATTTGTTTCACTTTTACGCACGGACTTTTACGCACATGTGCGCAAAAGTAAATGTGACAAATTGAACGTGTCACTGTCATAAATCTTTTAAAGTATTTTCATTAAAAAGTAACCAACAGGCTTTTTTAACGAATTACGTAGGCTTATAGAGAACTATTGATCATAATTTAAAGATTACTTACAATTTGTAAATTATAACTTTGTTACAACTTCAGTCTCAATGTCGTTAAAATGGTCTATTTTTCTGCGCTCGCCGATGCTGCCACACGCCCAACACGATTTTTTTAAATAGCGCAAATTTTATGCAATATATGCATCTGATACAAACACCATACCCTGAAAGCAGCACTTGAATTTTCAACACTCATTGTTTCACTTGTTATGCTTACAAAAGTACGCTTTTGAAAAATTGCAAACGTCAAAACATGACAATTTCAAAAATGGCATTGACATCAAATTTTAAATATGAAGTTGACGGTTGTTATTTTTGGCTATTTTTATTCATTATAACTTATTATTGGTGTTATATCCTTTAATCGAATAAAAATATTGTTCGATATGAGGGCGAAAACCCGTTTTTCAAACTCCTGACGGATTAACACCCTCGATTTCGTCTCGGGTATCAAACGCCGTCCTCGTTCAAAAAACGACACTTTTTGCCCTTCTATCGAAAACTACTAATTGTGTCGACTTGTCATTTATCAGTATTTTAAAAAATCAAGTATTCGCTGGTTTTTTAGTTAATACCCCAGTGTGCGACATATTGTAAGCTCCAAGTTCTTCGGGATTGAATAAACGTGTTTTTGAAATATTTTGCTTATAAATTTACAGAATTATAAAATGTTATTGAGTTATTAATAAAGTCAATACAGATTTTCGAGTTATGACGATGAAAGAGAAAGTATTGTACTCTATAGTCTATAGTCTATAGACCACATAGCCCCCCTGGATTCGCCACTGCGCATGTGTGCGCTGGTTTTGTCATAATTTATCTGGTTTAAATTTCTCAGCCCTTTATACCACCATAGTGACGCCTCATGAGGCAACTAACTGTTAAATTATACTTCTCATATAAAACATTTTTTTAATTAAATATTTCAGGTTATTATTTCGATTATTAAAAACAATGTTTTAATAATACATCGATTAGAAAACCCATTATTTATAGTATTTCTATCATTGTTTATAACTAATAATATATTGCAAGTTTCAAATCGGCAATACAGTGTTAATAATGGTTGAATTTTCACTTTTTCAAATTTAACTTATCTTGTTAAAAGCTTACTTTTTTCGCTACACGCTAAAAGACACGTGTCACTTTTCTCATGAGCCGTCATTGGTTCAAAAAAAATGGATAGTTAAAAACTCACCTAAAACATTTGTATTAACTCGAATGGAAGTGGTGTACATCGGTTCCATTAATCGTAGGTCGCCATTCTCCAGGGCGGCAGTCAGGGCAGCTTTAATCGCATTTTCCTCAAACGACATCAATTGTGGAGTAATTGCCACAGGTTGGATATCTCTGGCCAGTTCAAAATCGTTCACGATAAAGGCACAATTCATTAACGGTTCTTCGCAGATTGGTCCCGCTTTAACACAGCTTTGGAATGCTCTGAGTACACATTGGGCTAAGAAGGTTCTTTGGTCCTGCACATTTGTTTCTAGGAATATATTATGTACATAATCTCTGCTGTTGTTGATAAGAATGTTAGCACAGTCTGGAGTTCGACTAACACACCAGATTTTGTTCTTTAGATTGTCCCATACAATACCATTTTGTTCAAATGTAGCATATAATAAATCCTTGAAATGTGCTACTGCACGAGTGGTCAGTTCGCTTTTGAAAGTTTGCTCTTTTGGTAGCCTGGCTAATGGTTCCTTATCAGCAAACTCGTTGTATTTTCTAAGTAAATCAATCCAACCATAACTCTGCCGCTCTGTGATCATTTTTATTAGGTCGTAGTTAATGCTAATAAGTTGAGCAATATTTTGAGGTAAAGCGACAGCAACCAAAGACATTTTTATTGTGTGACTTGCAACGATGGTCTCCTTAGGGACAGCAATTAGGGTGTTAGTAATAGTCTCACGTAAAGAAACGATGGGCCTAGACACACGAATATCAATCTTCGCAAATCTCTTGACCAAATCTTCTTTACATTTATCAAAATGGACATCTCCTGCTGTTAGTATGATCATTTCGCCATTTTCCTGAACAATCACTTGCACGCAGGAATCGCTTTGTGCAAGTAATTTTAATCCAAATCGCAGCACCGGAATATCCTTGGGATTAACCGGTTCAATTGCATATTTCATAACAGGAAGATAAGTTGGGTGCTCTATTATAGGGACAACATGCAGTTCTGAAGATAGAGTAGCAGTACGGGTTATGCTTCCCCCTAATCCCTCAATACCGCAGAAATTCCCTGCGGGTACACTGCTAACTGCTTTCAAGTCTCTCCCATACAGCATGTACAGTTGCTTAATCACAACTTTTTTCACATGTCTATTTTTTTTTACAAATTTGCTTGAATTTACTTGAATATCACGTTCGTCCGGAACATAGCCTGTGGATATTACATATATCGCCTGCCCAACTTTCAATACTCCAGTAAAAACTCTCGTCAATGCAATTACTACATTTTCAGATGAAATCTTCGATATCAAGTCATCTGTGCTCAGGTCGACTGGTTCCTCCACTGTAGGTTGTGATTCTAACTGTTCGGACGTCTCCGATAAAGACAAATTCAGCATTTCCCGATGAAAGTCTTCTGAAAGTCTTCGAAATGTGGTGGTGAAAATTGTTGAAGCGTTCTGAGCCAAATATTTATTATCTACACAAAACATCTTTGAAACATAGCACAATGTTGGTGCATTAAAATACTCGGCATTGAAAAAACGGGAGAATTTATTAACACATTTGGTCAAATACGTGTCCTCCGCATAAAAATTGGAATTCAGTAAATAGTCAATTTTTTCCTTTTTCATACAATTGGGAGCCGGAATGACATTTAGGCATTGCTCAAACACTGTACGAGATAATGGGTTCCACGACGACAAAATTGATCTAATTTGCACCTTAGGATCAGTAGAACAGATCATGTCCCGTGTTGGATCGGTAATACAGAGCTTTTCCAAAATGGCTCGCAGTTTATCGCCCTGACATTTTCCACTAAGGGACTCGTAAACATGCACTACGGTTTTGAGACAGAGTTGAATGAATATATTTTGTTTCATCTTATCTCTAGCACCAGTTTTAATAACGCCCTTTGAATCTACCCAGCAATCAAAATTCCACATCTTCTCATTAAGAGATTCTACTGTTTCACCATTAATATTTGCGATCATCATGTTTGAAATATGCATAGTTGTGAACGCCCAACCATCAATAGCGCTTCCAAAAATCACATTTCCTGTAGTTGGGTTGAACAGCAATCCTTGAAATAAAATAGTTTCATGATTATCTAATTGAGTAAACCCAGGTTTTTATTAGAATCTTACCTGTGTTTTCTATATCAATTTGGTTAGTGAATCCATATTGATATAATTCGGCAATGATTACATTGCAGTCCTCGATAATTTGGATGATCGTCTGGAACATTTGGTCGATATCCTGATGTAATTCCATTATTAATCTATCAAGTTTATTAATGACCAGAATCATCGTCACATGCTCTTCATATGCTTTGCTAATTGACTCCCGTGTTTGTACACACACCCCCTCAGCTGCATCCACTAGAATTATTGCTCCATCACAAACTCTTATTGCTGCTCCCACTTCCGAGGAAAAGTCAATATGCCCAGGCGTATCTATCAAGTTCAGCAAAATACTCCTATACTTCTTTGCTCGTTCATCACGAAGAACGTTTAGTAAGGAAACCGCGCTACTTTTCATCGTAATTCCTCTTTCCTGCTCATCCAGACGGTCGTCAAGATATCGTAAGGATCCTGCCATACGCTGGCTAACCAAGCAATTCGTACTTAGAAGTAGGTCGCATAATGTCGTTTTACCATGATCTACGTGAGCCAAAATGCACACATTCCGTATACATTTTGTTTCGCCCATACAGCAGTTCAGTTCTTGGAAAGTAGGTTTAACGCACTCCATGATCTATATTTAAAAAAAACAATGCTTTAATAACACATTCAATTAGAACTACATAAATGACGCTTTAAAAGTAAATTGGTTTATGTTAACTTATAACGTATTTATTATACAGGGTGGGCCAACGAAAAGGTCGCACCCATATTTATGAGTCTCCTCGTAGATTTCAACAAGAGTCAACTTTGTTGTCAACAACATTATAGTCAACAGTCAACAATATTATATATATGCCATGAATGATAAATATGACGTTCTTTACATACATTGAACCATTGAATGGTTGAACCGACCAATAAATCTAAAATATTTTATAAAAGTATGCAAATTTCTGCAGCTTGCGTAGTAAGTTGTAAATTATAATATATTACTTTTTAAGTAAAGTGTTACTAATAAAGCAGATTTCTCTTGACCAACACTTTTTAATTCGATTTGCGTTAACAAATGCAAAACCACATACAAATGTACAGTAACGAGTATCTGAAATATTCCTTAAAACTCTAGAGTTTTTATGTTTTTAGACAGTCGTGAACGAGAATTTATTCGTGACGTTTCGCAAGCAAGAGTGGCTTACATCTTCAGAGGTGTTTGCTCGAAAGCTTACCACGAGCCAACCGCCTCTAAAGACGCACGCCACTCGTGCTTGGAAAACGCCAGGAAGAAATTATATTTAACTACAGCCTAAAAAATCGAAAAACTATTTCTCGGGTCATCTTCAGGGCCTATATTCAAGTTCAAACAGAGTCGGACTTGATATGTAATCCGGAAAATGAGAAAAGAAGCTACATGGTTATTTTTTGTCTGGTATTTCGTATTAGTATTATTATCTTACGACTTAATCATAATTATCATCCTTTACGCATGACGATTTAAAATCTATATTAAATTATTCAATCGATTTATCAAATTATGTGAAAATTTGGAAAATAATCAAAAACTGCAAAATCTTGAATCAAAAGTGTGTCCGCCGAAGTCTTATAGCAACTCACTCAACTGCAAGATCTGAAGCAACCCTTACGAAAATGAATTTTGATTAGCAAATTATTTTAATCTTTAGAAGGCATTCCACTTTTCCTAATCCTCCAGTTCTCTCAATTCTTTATGCTTTCTGGACTAAAAAAGTTATGTATTCTATAGAATATTGAACCAATAAAGAAAGACGAGATAATAAAATGTGTAAAGTTTTAAAAAGAAAATAAAAGCAGCTGACGGATAAGTGAGAGTAAAAGAAGAAACTAAATAATAATTAAAGATGATCAAATAGAGAATGATGGTTAAAAGTAAAGGTATAATATAAAAGAAAAGAAAGAGATTTTTTTGGAAAAATGGTAGAAGCTCAAGATAGAAAAATATAGTTGGGTTGCATATATGAAGAAAACCATTTCATTTAAGATTTTAATAAATAGTATAGCGGAAGTATTTAAATTAGGCTCATATAAATATAGATAACGTGGCATTTATATAATAGTGACATACGAAATCTTCAAGAACAAATCTACTTCTTCAGTTTCCAGCTGTATCGGCTTTCATAACTAACAGCATTTAACAAAAAACTGGCCAGTTTTTAATCTTACACCAAAAGTTCTCATGTACAAGCAGTGCTTTGAGCTGACAAAGAATATTCAAAATATCCCAGTAAAAAATTATAGCAAACATTAGTAATCAGCGCAAAACGAATCTTTTCCCAGTCAACCTGTTATACAGGGTGTTCGGATAATGCGTTAGAAAATATTTAACGGTGATTCTACATCATTAAATAATGGTAGTAAGTTATATAACAAAAAAATTCGAAATCTGAATATTTTACAAGTTACAGCTCATCAAATTTTTTCCTTTTAATTTTTGACATATTCTGGGCATTTGTTCGCGGATTAAATTGAAAATCGATACAGAGTTTCAGCTTAGTGATCTATAACTTTCCAATGAAAAATTGTTTCTCCACTTTCCGACTAGACGGCACTTTACATGAAATCGAAATTTTATGTTCCTCATGAAAACATGCAAAATTGCTGGGATTGCAATTAAATCCAAGGACACTGGTTTGAAAGTGATAAAAACTTGATGTCGATTTGCTCCTAAACGAAGAGGGTTTTCGAGTCGTGTGAAGAGCACATTTTTCGTTTAGTATTTTGCAATTTTTAATACCGAATATTTCCTTTTGCGATACTTGGCGAGTGAAAAAAGTTATGCGGAAAATGAAATTTCGATTTCAGGTAAAGTGCCATGCAGTGGCAAAGTGGAGAAACAATTTTTTATCAGAAAGTTATGGATCACTGAGCTGAAACTCTGTACCGATTTTCAATTTGATCCGCGAAGAAATGTCCAGAATAAGTGAAAAATAAAAGGAAGAAAGTTTGATGAACTGAGAAAATATTCAGATTTCGAATTTTTTTACGACATACTATCATTATTTTAGCATGTAGAATCACCCTTAAAAATGTCCTAATCATCCTTAAAAATATTCACGGATTAAAAAGTTCTAGCAGTGTAGATTTAAGTTGAAACAAACTTTTACCAGCAAAAAATATTAAATATACAGGTATCGACTCAAATGTAGCAGCCAAGTAACTAATTTTTTTTAGCAATGCTTGCAGTAAAACTTCTGATTCCCAACACGAAATACTAATCAATAGAGTTTATTTTATTTAAAAAGTGTAAAGGAGATAAATTGGTTTGTAAAAAGCAAAACAAACGTCCTTTGATGAGTGTAAGACTTTTTACAAATTTCTATAATTCCTTTCTGGAAAAAAGCACTTGCATCGCCAGTACCTATTCCTAATGGTTGTCTTTCTTTCTTTCATAACGTTTGATTCCAAACTGCATTTAATTTTCAACAAAGAATAGCACCTTAAGGTTTTATAACTTACGTTTCGAGACTTTGGCACAAAAAACAAATAAAGAAAATATATTATATTACAGAAAAAATGACATGTTTCCATCAAGATTCATAATAAGCCTAAATAATAGTTGGTTAATTCTAATGACTTTTAAGACAAAAAGTTAAAGATAACAACAAACAAAAAGTTAACAATCCCGATTACATTTGTAATATACTGTTTGTTGGTGCACAGGTGAATAAAATATTCTACTTTCTAAAGCTTTTGAGACGCAAATTCAGGTTCTTTAAGAAAATTGATATATTTTTTTGTTTATCTAACGAACACATAGAATAAAACAATTATTTCCAGATTTGCTCAACAGGGAATTATGTACCACCCGTGCTTCTGGTTGACTAGTTTTTATCCGTTTTTTTTCCGTCCAAATGCCTACAGGTCAAACTTGACAAGACTTGTCTCTATACACACCAAGGCGATTTTCAGCCGTGTTGTTTCAACTGTGCGAAAAATGTGCTTGCAAAGACTCAAATCATGCGCCGTTTGTGCAACTTAAACGTTTTTAGAAAAATCGTTGTCCTGCGCCATCACATTTATGACACAAACTCTGCACAAACGTTGCATTCTAGCCAAAGTGAGGTCATCGTTTGTAGAGCGTGTGTAGTAAAACCCCGATATAAACCGTTATATTGCGTAAAAATTCCTGTAAAAATACATTTTTTGTTTGTAAATCCTCATGGCATACAATTACAGGTAGAAAATATACATATAACATACAAGCAAAGGGTAACGTGTTATTGTAGAGGTAAATGAATTACTAATTGGAGACTGCGCATTGACTACAGATAAAGTAAGCAAATACAATCGAGTTATTAAGCTCAATCTTACTCAAATATGTTGCGAATTTCACACGAAGTTAAATCACACAAATAATATTCTAGAACTATCACTAGCACGTGAATTGACTGAACGGTTAGAAATAAAATGTTTTATAACCTCAAATGTCGGCATAATGGCGTCGCCAGAGCCGTCGTTACGACAGTGTTGCGGAAGTTGGCTTAATTTCTAACTTCTAATGAAAACTGTACTAGTTTAGGAATAGTATTTTTAGTCAGAAAAGACCTTAAAAGTTACATCAGTTAAAATACTTGTTTACTACAAATAGTTATTTTTTTATAAAAATACTAAAAAGAGTGAATCTTAGGTAAGGCGTTGGTTTTGCACCCGATCTATATGTACAATATGAATATAATATGTACATAATGAAGTAAGCACTCGGGAAAACGAGTAATTTTAAGAGTTACATGTTAAACAGGCATTAAAAACAGTATTCATTTTTGTCTGATAATGTACAACCCTATTGGGTGTTCCATTTAAAATAAGCCAAAGCTTAGAGTCGAAAATTAGCTAATTTTAAAACTTACGTTTTTGGACGTTCTGTATCAAGATGTATTGAAATTAAATTTGTATGAAATAGAAATGGAATACTCGGGTTTATTTTTGTATACTTTATCGGGATGGAAGTATTTACGCTCAGCAAGTACATTGTATACAAATTGTACAACGAAGTCACCGGATATGCTCTATTGGTCTAAAATATTTTCAGCAATACGAGGTTGCCGCTTATACCGAAAAGTGCATACAATTTTGATATTTTAAATGTGACACTCCCTATATTATTGCACGGTTAGATTGGCTATATACATACATATGATTATTTTGGCATATCGATTCCTATATCTATCTTAAGCGGTTTCCGAAATATTAAATAAAATTCATTATTTTTAATCAAAACGTAGGCCCAAGGAATCTTATATTACAACGCGATTTCGATACCTGGAAACTTAAAATTTTCGTACTGGGTTAGGAAAACCCTATGCTTGAGCCCGGCGTACATCAATTTGTTCCAAATTATACAGGATGTCTTCAAAATACTGACCTTTCGGCTAGAGATAAAAACTGCTCGAATTAAATTTTTTCAAATAGAACACCATGTATATTAGTTCCAATACGGGAAGACCGTTAAATTCCCTTTGCAACTTGCGATGTAAGAATGTCAGTTTTTGATGCATTTCGTAGGGCAAAGTCGTTATCGATTTTCGATCGACAAGTTATCGATTTTCAGCCATCAGACATTTTTTTACAATTTTACAATATTGACTGCTTACGCCGGAGTTTATTTACTGAGGAACTAACGAACTGAGAAAGTCGCTTCTGTCACAAAAAGGTAAGGGAAGTTTTGAAAATATTTAAAAACATGGGGCTAGAAAATCGAAAACTGAGAAGGAAAATAAAACGCAACGCAATAAATAAAATGCGAAACGGGTTAATAAAAAGAAATTTGAACATTAGGTTACATTTGCCACCGGTGGAGCCAGTTGATTTACATTATTTAAAATGTAATCAATCACAAAATCAGCGCAATAGAAACAGAGATTCAGACGTGGCAACATTACAGCCAAAATTTCCGTCAATGACGTTTGCTTTGTTTATTGCCATTGTTTTGTCAAACAAAACAGCATTTAAAAAATTTTTTAAATGAAAAGTGGTGGCAATGAGATAAACTACAATGTGAGGCTGATTGTATCGTTTGAGTCCCTCCGAATTTTTTCCTTGTTTTACCTCAAAGAACACTCAAAACTAAGCAGTTTCAGCGAAAAAAAATCCTAGATTATCCACAATGTTTGGGAAAAATCATTTTCAGGCTAAATTTCGAGCAGTGTTGCCAAACTGTATAAAACGTTTTAAATTAGTGAAATTGTTTCCTTAAATACCTAGCATGTTGATTCATTCTTTTCGGGTTATTATTTTTTATTCAAAAGAAACTCCCTGGGTTCCAGTCAATTTTATTGTTTATCATTTAAAATGTTACAAATACGTTTCGGTGTCTTTCTCCATCATCATCAGTTTTTCTAAAATATACATTTACAGTCGTCATTAGTTTAAAACAAGAGCTCTGTTAAAATATACATACTAAAATACAAATCAAAAACATATTAAAAATTATATTAAAATCCTTTGAATCTCTTGGGATTACAGGTGATGAGTCAGGACAATCATGTTCGGGAAAAGACTAGAATTTATTGTCTAGAGATTTAAATTTTATTTACATGTATGGCTGTTTCTACCTTCAAATTTGGCAAGCCATTGAAAAATCTTTATTTTACTACTTTTACTTAAAAAAACTGTTTATAATATTTGTCATTTTTCTTTGCATTCTGAGGATATCACTTAATCTGCATTTCTTCAATATACCAGGTGTTAATATTTTATGTAGTTGGTTTAATTAGTGTATATAGGTGTTCGTTTAATTAGTGTATGATATATAGAACTAAGATTGTCTGTGTCTGATCTAAAATTAATTGCATTCTGATGTTTTTTTAATTTGTATCATTTCATGGATTCTTCTCTTATTATAATTGTCTTCAATATTAATATTTTTGTGTTATCAAAATCAAAACTATGTAACATTTGTTGCGTATGTTGTGCTAATGCTGTTCCATTTTCGTTAACCTTTCTTAAGCTATATTTATGTTCGTATATTCTTTTCTTTTAATATTGTCCTGTTTGACCTATGTATGCGCTGTCACAGTTCAAACAGTCAATCTTGTATATGTATTACATTAGGTGTGTTTAACTTATCACTTTTAGGCTTAAATTTTGTGAAACATTATTTTGCTAAGTTGTTTTTAGTTTTATCTGCTATAGTGATATCATGCGGTTTTAAAATATTTTTTATTTTTGTGTTAATTTCTGGAATATATGGTAATGATACTATACTTGATTTCACCTTCTTTTTTCTTATTATTATTATTTACGTTGTTCCATTTATTGGAATTGCAGATTTTATTTATTCTTCGTTTTATGATTGGTTCGACAGTTGTTCATTATTAGTATATTTTTCATTTTTTTAAGATTTTTTTATCTATACGCATAATGTACCAATTTAATTGCTCTATCAGTAAGAGCTGAAATTTCTTTTGAATTAAGTTGAAATATAGTCAGGAAAATATACACAATTAATTTTTATTTTTATATATATATATTTTTATTTCCATTAAAAAAACACTAACCATGCTCACACGAACAAACTAACTCAAAATTAACCGAAAGGAAAACACGCCCAAGAAACGGGCAATACCGCATTGAGTTCAATTCCGGAAACAGCTAGCTAACCTCAATCAATGGGCGACGTTAGAAAAGATGCTCAAGCTTTTGCGAAAAACACAATTATTATGCGATGGCAAAATTATCTTAGCGACAATTTTGCATGTGGAGTTATGAAAAATGTTGATACTTAAAATGCGTGGTTTTGGAAAAGCAAATTTCAAAAGTTTGTAAGCGTTTTTTGGTTTAATTTATGAACCAACCGGAATTTTTTTGGCCAAAAGCGCCTAATTTGAAGTGCAAAACAAATAAAAAAACTGAAAATTTGGAGGAACTCAAACGACACGATCACCCAATGTAGTACTCTCTAATTCATGATACAATGAATACAAGGTAGGACATTAATCGGTCGAAAACTCGATTTTCGTGCGCACATGACGTCACTGGTTACCACTGGTAAAGTGAACAGCTGATCCCATTTAAATTGCTTGTAACCTAGACATTCAAAACGCAATAGTTCAAAAACGGAAAGTTATATGAGGATATGGTTTGCAGCATTGTATAGCTCAATGCTTTGAAAATCGCGTTTGGGACCTGATATGGGCGTATTGGGAAGAAAAATACCCTAAATAATTATTTACAAAATATCTGATTTTCAGCGTTTTAGCGTGCTGTGTTGCCAGAGGGTCATTTGAGAAATCGGGTTGAGCCATACGAAATAATGAATTAATTGTATCACAATGAATGAATGCACTGTTCATACAATGAATTGATTGTATCATATAATGAATTCATTGTCGTACAATGAATTCAGATTCGGTTCAGTCTCGGTTCAGAAATATAAAAAATGCCATGTGCAGTCATTTCATTTGTATTAAAATTTACATATCATCCGCGGCATCACAAACCGCATATTTCGTCGTAAATAATAGGAAAGTAACATTAGGTTATTGTTTGGACTTCCGTCTCTTGAATCGTAATGTACTATTTCTGCAAGGATACATTTTCAGCTAACCCTATACTTTATTGCACAACTGGCAACTGTGCTAGTCTGCAAAATAAATACATTTTCGTTACTTTTAATTTTCAAGTCTAAAATCGGCTGCAAAGCATCTTGTAATTATAAGGAAGATTTATAAAAAAATAATTAAATGTGACAAAGACTAAATAAGCTATATTTAATCACATTTAGCAGACAGGAAAAAAGCACGCCCGGCAGTGATTTCCACTGACGTGACGCAAATCGACGCAAGATCCTACCTTGTATTCATTGTATCATGTCTCTAATTTAATCTCTCACATTTTAAACAGAGAGCAGTGCCTATTGCCGTAAAGGGACGTAAGGGATTATCTGCAAAACAAACTACTTTTTATTTCAAATTACTTCTGTTTGAAGTTGAAATGCCAGTGGGCCATAAACTAGTAAATTACCGATTGCTTAGTGCGGTCCTGGAAATATTACTGGTCGCCTATTTGCTTTGGTTCCTGACATCTCGGTATTGGGCCTACTATATGCGCGAATATTTTACTATTTTATGACAGTACAAACAGCACCTAATAGATATTTGATAGATACAAAAACGAAGTTAAAACACCGTTTTTATTGCAGCAAACTATACAGATAACTTAGGAAATGGTGCAATGTACATACTCTTTTAAAATTTGGCGGTAGGAGACTGCGCAAACCCATAAAGATAGTACAAACAATAACAGTGGCAATGCTAGTGTAGAAAACTTACTCGATTTATTCCAAATAGCACTATCACGGGTTGCAATCAGTTAAAATATGTGAGCATTAATCTCGCACCACCACATGCACGGATCCTACTTTCAGGACTTCCAATATATGCTTTATAACCTCAATGTTTTGTCTTGCGTGCGGACCTTCGACGTGTAATTGAAGCTACGGCGCAACGGACAATCTGAAAATTTAATTTAATCTAGAGAATATCAAACGCAGATTTTTTATAAAATCTTTCAGGGCGAATCTGACTTTTTTTTCAATTATAAAAAACCTTAATAATTAATCACTAAAGTTTAAATCTCTATTTGATAAAATCTAATTAATAGAAAAATTAATTATGGTCGTTTTGTAAATACATTTGGAAAATCAACCAGTTTTATGGAAAATTATGCTTAATTTATATATCTAATTCTGAGACCATAGATTAATGGTCAAGAACAAAGTTAAAAATCCGTCACAGTCAGTCCATAGCCTCTACCCTATCAGTTTTTGACAAATTTTCTAACCTTCAAATGAATTTCAATTAAAAAAAAGATTACGGCGATAATCCCATTAATTTAAGATCAACATTGTTCATTTGTGTACTTTTCCCTGTGCCTCTAGCTGTTAAAATGATCACTTTATCCCAACGTTTAAAAAGAAAAAATGACAGTGACTCTGGCATAGTGAATAGGGCTCCAATTAGAGACCGCTTATTAGTCAAAGAAGCTCAAGAAATGTCCCAACTGTTACCTGCATCTTGCTCAGTTCAATACCATAATGAAAACGATTTAAGTAAATTTACCTTAGTTGTTCAACCAACAGAAGGATACTGGGAAGGTGGCTCCTTTAAGTTCGACATCAATGTTACAGAAGAATATAATATGGTTGTAAGTATGTCATTTTTTTCCTATCAAATTAAGGAATTCAATCCTTCTTTGCAGCCACCTTTAGTAAAATGTGCAACCAAGTTATGGCACCCAAATATTTCAGAAAATGGTGAAGTGTGCTTATCGTTATTGCGAAGACATAGCGTAGATGGAATGGGATGGTCCCCCATTCGAAGACTTAATGACGTCGTTTGGGGATTGCATGCTTTATTCACAGTACGTATATGCATGATGGTTCTTCACATATAAATGTAAAACGTTCTCATCTCCTTTAGGACTTACTTAATTTTGAAGATCCCTTAAATGTAGAAGCTGCTGATCAATTCAGATATTCAAAAGAAGATTTTAAATCTAAAGTAACAGAATATGTTCTAAGTTATGCAAGGGAATAGCGAAAGTGGACCTTCCTGGAAGCTAATATTAATTTTGTTCAATTTATATTGTATAAAATTAGTATTCTAATTTGTGATATTTTCTCTGGGAAAGAATTTGTAATTATTACTGTAATTATAGAAATTTAAGCAATTACCAGTTCTTTCCCCATAATATAAACTGCGTGCTTTAAAATGACAAAATGTCGCCAACTCTCAAATTTTATGGCTACTTCTGAATTTTTAAATAGCTCCACTTTGTGGAAAACAGTGAACTAAATAATAAAAAACAACTCAATGAATAAGCAAAAATTGGTTTCATTTATTTACTTAGACTACATAAAAAATAAATACAATCTTATCGGGAGCATAGTTAACAATGCACCTATGTAGGAATGTGATAAATATAAAAGAAATTATTAAAACAACGATGATATACCTATATACTTTAAAAACATGAGATAACACAAGAATTAGAAAAAAATTGTTTCTATGAACCAATATTTTTTAGCAACTCATTGAGCATCACTGATCCGAAAACGATGTTTTCACAGTTGATCCTTAATAGTGTTTTATCCCGTTTTTGAACAGTGACTAACGTTAAACTAGACGACGTCATAGTTAGGCCGGCAAATCTATGAAAAACACACTGTTAAAATGTATAAAATCACGTTGTTATAAATTACCTTAGATATTCGGAATCTGAGTTATCACAAGGGCCTAGATTTGCAAGTTCTGCAATACGACCAATGATATTATGGCAATCTGGAATTACTCCCGTATGCTCATTCATTCCACACAGTTTCAGTTGCTTTTCGACAAATACACTAGATGGCATTTTTACTGGTCGCAATAACTCTCCTACGTTTGGCCTGATGCACACTGAGAAGTTTCCTAAAATTAATCCATCTCAAAGTATGCCAATTTTTAAAAACGCTTACCGAGATACTTACCTAAGGAAGACACTATTTCGAAGTTCGCGGGTTGTGTGGTATCATTAAAATCAATCCCCAATGTTGCCGGTAGCGAACAATTCGGTGACAGTTGCGGTATGCAAGCAAAGTCATGCATGCTCATACCCACAGCTAAGCTCTAAAATAAATCGAATTTCATAAACGACAAACATATAAACTATTTTATTTAGGTACCTTTTTTCCCAAACGAATATCACTGATCACTTCAGCAGTGTTATTAGTAAACATTACATTTATGGTAGTCAAACTCGGGGAATATAAATGAGGACTTCTAGTAAAGCGATAATTGGCGGAAAGTCCTCTGCCATTTATTTTGCTCAGCAATTCCGTTGGCTTCGTATTAGTAAATGATGGCGGAACCGTCTGAATTAATGGTAATGATGCAACCGTTGGAGTTGGCGTGTAAAAACCACCTAATTTGAAACAAGAAAATATGTGAGATTTGTGGATTAAAGCTCATGACCCATGCATTCGTTTATACGATGAAACGAAAGTGTTTCAATTGGTTGGAGATCTGTCAGTTCGTACGACGATCGACGACCTGACAGATCTCCATCCAATAGAAACACTTTTGTATCCTCGTACATGCATGGGACACGGGCGTACGAATAGACCAAACTAGTGATGGGAACTATCGAATTATTCGATATTTGTAATTCATTCGAATTGGTGGTGTGAGATTTGAGTACTTTTGAGTACTCTTGAGTACTCGTACCGACTAGTTACTTTTGGATTCAATACTCGTTACTTCGGATCAGTTATTCGAGTACTCATCCTAGTCGTACGTCTTACGAAAGTCGAAGACCGATCTTTGTATTGTATTAGAGCCCTTCAGATTTGTTACACGGACACTTTAGTCATACAAACCATATACAACCCTAGAATTTATGATTCGAGTAATAGATAGGTATATTTACGTCTAAGAGTAAATAATCAGACCATTTTTAAGTCAATTGTTAATGGATTTCCTCTCTTTTGTTATTGTAGATATTGTCCGCAGACATTTTGAACCCCCACAGTTGTTAATACTTGCAGTTTCTAAATAAATTGTCTTTTTGGAACAATTTTTGAAAGCAAGTAATTTAACTCTGTGAAGCAAGATGCCACACATCCATAAATAAATACAGTGCGACAATTATCAATTTTAATAAACGTATTTTTACAAATATGCAGTTTTGAAATAAGTTGCAATTATGTAAACGTAAAAATAGAATTAAAATTTACCATGCGGCAACGTACAGCGCTGTTTTTAGTGATTAGAATCGACCGACGTTGAAAATCAAACGCGGCTTGCGGTGTCCATCCGTATCGGTGCGGGTCCGAGTACTGATTACCCATGATACCAGCGTGGCCAACTTTTCAAACGCGTATTACCGTACAAGCCATTTGAAAATACCGTATTTTACCGTACCAGAGATTTTGAACCAGAAAAACAAAAAAAGGTCTTCAATCGTCCCATGATATTTACCGTACAATTGGCGTACAACCTATCGAATTATTCGATAGTTTTAAGTAGTTACTAAGTTAAGTTGAATTGTTTTTATTCATGTGTTTTCTAATTATCGGATAATCCGATAGCTATAATCATTGCAATGAACGAATTCAAATTTTCAATAAATTAATTTTCCACTTTTTAAGCAAGAATATGCAATATTAATTTTTTAAATTGGGTTTTTGTTCAAAAATTTAACAATTTTTTTCGGAAAAAGCTTATAGTGAATTGTATTCATTTTTATCATTAACTATTTTTTTGTCATAACGGACTTTCACCACTTTGAAAGAAAACGGCTCATATCGCATCCAAGGTTTCCAAAACCCTTCTAGGAATATGACAACGCATGCCCCCGAATGATGGTGGTGTCTATTAAACATCCTGACAATAAATTGCATAATTTCACGCTGATGATATTTATATGTATAAAGCTCATCAGCGTGTGTAACATGTTACTAGAGAATAGACCGAACCTGTCGAAATGTGATTTTGCCTAATGGGTAACCTTACGTCTTACAGAAATTCCTAAAAAAACTCATAAAATATAAATTAATCTGCCTAAAATAAATCAACCTATTTACACTAGAACAGAAACGGATAAATTGTATCCAACAGTTCTATACACACATGAATGAATTTATTCGATAGTTGCATTCATTCATTTAGTAATCATTCGATAGTCGAAATCATTTCCACAAAACCCATTTTCAAAAATTCAACATATGTTTTTAGTCAATCAGCTTACCTAGTGAAGGTGTTAAAACAGGGGCAGCCGACGAATCGTTTTCGCAAAAATCTAGCAAAAGATCTAAATTCGATTTCTTTTCGCTTGTGTTATTGGTTTTTTTCTGAACATTGGCCGTTGCGGTGACATGATTAGTAACTGCAGCCGGCTTTCGGTCATCTTCGGCTGAACTAGATTCATCATCAGACGACTCTGATTCTTCTGAAGAAGACTCATTTGAATTGGCACTTTTGCTGCAATATTTAAACATCATTGAGGTTTTAGTAATGAATCAATCTTACTTCTCCGATGACTCTTCCTCAGCAGAGCTTTCCGGGTTGCTTGTTTCTTCAGTGCCAGTGTCTTCAGACGATGACTCGCTGCCCGAAGAGCTAGAGCTTTCACTTCCTTCTGCTGCTGAAGTAGCTTCCGAAGCAGACTCCCATGAAAACACATCATTTCTGCCTTTCTTCTCCTGAAAATCGACCCTAGTACATGAAAACAGGATTATCCAACAAAATATTGCTTACTGAACGTTTCTCTAGTTCTCCAACTGAAATATCTTCTACATTTCGGCTGTCGCCAGGTGGGGCTACTTCTGGGAAATCTGGCAGTGGTTCATAACCAGCCGCCCTTTGCTTTATATAGTGAGACAAAGATCCAAGCTGCAAATCTTCTTGATCTAAAGCAATAGTAAAGATTTCCAGTATAGTTTTTTTGGAATTTATTACACGTTGTGATTTGTTATCAACATTTTTATTTGTGATATGTTATCATATCAAAATGTTATCACATTGTAATTTATTATCAAAACCGCATTTATTATTTGAGGATATCAAACATACCTTTAAATTGCGACTGCAGAATAGGAGCAGGTTTCGCAGCCAAAAATATCCTGGCAGCCTGAGAAGATAATTTGCTACTTTGTCCCGCAATAAAGAATTTCAAAAGTCTAGCCTTATCCCGTATATCGTAGTTTTGATCGTATCTAGCTAAATTAAAAATATACTGACACAGCAAACTGGTTTGCTCTGGGTTGGTGATGTACAGCTTAATTGCTAAATTCATAACTTGAAGCTTTACAATGTCATGCTACAAACAATAATACAATCAGCAAGTGAAATTTGAATCTAAAGAACTTTGTACAGTTTTACCTCGTCCGAAAATGACTTTGCAAGCTTTCTAAGAACATCAGGAGCAATTTTTGGTACTTTTTGGGAGTGTTCTCCTAAAAGCCACAAAATTGCAGCCCTCGCTTGTGCAACAGTTATACTGTCAAGTAACTTCGCCATATGGGTAATAATTTCTTTAGGATCAGCAGCTTGCGTTTGCAACAATCTTTTTATAACGACCACACTTTCCGCAACTACGGCCTCTAAAAAACCACGCCATTGTTAAAACTGCAATTTAATTAACCAGTTTTACTTCTTACCGTCTCTATTAGACAACAGAGAAACTAGACCATTAAGGCACGTATCTGTAACTTCAGAAATAGAGCAAGCACACCTGCCAATGGCTTGAATTGTGGCAGCAACAAAATATTTGTCATTATTGGATATATAAGTTTGTAGTTCCCTTAATATAATTAAAACGTTAGCATCTGTTGTAAGATTTGTTAAAATTTCTAATTTAAGAAGCTTAACATTGGTCGGATCTGAAGTCCTCACAAAGAAGCTCTTTAAATAAGTCTCGAACATGCCCTTGTTCTTAGCGCTTATAGAAGCAATTGCATTTAACACAATACTTTGAACTTCGACATGCGAACGTAAAAGACGAACTAAAGCTTTTGCAGCTAGTGGAAACTCGTTTTTAGGAGCAGCGTGATGATATAATTGCGCCACAGCCATTACAACTGCAGCATTTCTAGACTGCAAAAGAGGTCGAGTAGATCTTAAGAGTAGCCTATGATCAGGATACAACGAAGGAGCGGGTTTTTCTGAAACGTCAGAATTAGAATCATAAAAAGGACGGTCTGATTCATCTTCCATTTCCTAAAAAGGTGAAAAAATGGGCATAGCAAAACAAACACTTTGTAAAAACCGTGCATAGCTTATTGGCGAAATAATTACATGCATATTTGGATCCAAAAATTGCGACCTTGCATATCTGGTTAACATGTTAACAATAGTAACTTGACCCCATTCGTCTACATCTACTATCAAGGCACAGAGTTTTCTATAAACCACATTAATCAGGTTTACTTTTTCAGGACAAACTTCTGTAAAAGCCATTACTGCTGATCCGATCACTAAAACAGTTTTATCTGCTAGTAACTTTTGAATTATAGTTTCTAATTCTGATTTTAGCTCTGGATCCAAACTGAAAATGCAGGAAAACAATTCATATAGATTTTGTTATGCAGATTCATAGCAATTAATACCTGTATAGTTTGGGAATAGCGTGAGCAGCAGTTTTTCTAACATATGCTGACATATCAGAGGAAGCATCGCGAATAGCCAACATTACAATAGGAGATATCATTTTAACTCTTATACTAGACAGAACTCGTAGAGCACCAGCTCGAATTAATTGGTTTGGTTCTTTTAAAGCTCTCTGAAATGTAGATATGGACAGCAAAGCCAAATCCTGTTGCTCTTCTGCATATCTCTCCAAATAAACATACACCAGTTTCTTCACTTCAATGTTTTTAGATACTACATTCTTTACCACAGCTGGAAACAATACTGAAGCATCTCGACCTTTCGCCACCATCTGAAATTTATCAGTTGTTGAGACCATTGTCAAAAAAAGTCCCAAACAACTTGCCCCAATTATTCGCTTCATTGCCTCCAGTTTTAAGCTATCTTTGTTGGAATCCAGCATCTCTTTTAGATCATCATGCCTACCAATTAATTATTATCAATATTTGCAAGAACGCGATACTATATAAACATACTTCTTGAAGTCCGAATGGAAGAAGCCCCCCGTTGCAGGATCGGCAGTTAATTCGTTATCTAAACTTGAGCCCCGATCACTCGAATAAGAGTTAGTGTTTGACATGTTGTGGGTTGAAGATGCTAACATTTTAAAAATATATTATTTCATTTACAAACTAGTATTATCAAACAAATTTGTTACAAATATAAAACAGTGAAAATACACATATTCTGACAAATGACACGTTTTAACCTATATCTTGACTCCTCCTGTGGCCTGCTAAATGCTGCGACAAAAGTAGTTTGTTTTACGGCAACACTTTTCTATCTCGCTCTCCCACACACAACGGAAAGAATAAATAGAATTATTATACTACAGATAAATGAGATGAAAATAAAAATAAATTTGCTACAAAAGTGTGCATATTTGACGGAAACAGAATGGACTGTGAATACTACAATTAGGTGTTTTTAATTTTCAAATTACAAACAATAAATACAAATAGTGAAGAAGTTTTTAAAATTATCAGCCCTGAGCTCCTTTCAAAGCTGCTGCCTTAAAGGGAAAATATGAAATAATACAACAACGTAATCTCTTTAAATATATCTATATTTCCAACAGAATATAGGTATTTATTTGAAAATATATATTTCCATTATTTATATACATACACTACATATTAGGTGTACAAAAATATAGAAGTTACAAGAAATTATCTCTGATTGGAGATTTTAAACAAATACGCGCCTGTATCCAAAGAGAGACTTTCTAGGCCATTCCTTGAAACTAGTGGGATTTTCGGGTTTTTAGGCCGTCGTAAAATGGAATTTCTTCCTGACGTTTCGCAAGCTACTCGTGCTTGCCAAACATCAGGAAGAAATTCCATTTTACAACGGCCTAAATAGCCGAAAAACCCACTAGTTTCAAATACGCCTGTGTTCTCATCTAAGGTAATAAAGGTGCTTATACAAAAATAAAGTTGCTAAAATTAACTGTCAAGTAGTTTCGAAGTAGAAAAATGTATAAAAGTTGTAAAGTTTTGTTTAAAAATACTGGTTTTCTTTGTCATGGCAGTCCTGCAGAGCATTAAGTCTTCTAAAGGAATTTCGGTTTAATCGACTCTAGCAAAAAAAGCTTTTAAATTGCGTGCCTCAAAACTGTTTAGATTTAAGTCATTTAACTGAACTGAAACTGTATAGAACATTATAAGATACTGATTAAACGAAGGAGCACGCTGACCTGAGCATCTATTTTGAAATGACAATTATTTTATTACAATCAGTTCTTTTGAAATTGGAATCAATTAATAATCCCTAAACAAAACAATTTATTTATTTATTATTATTATTTTTGTATATAACACGAATTTAGAAGTTTAACAGAGAGTTACGCATAAATTCGAGGATATATTGGAAAGTCATCAAGTTGCCCAATTCGTTTGCCTTCATAGATTCATTAGAAATAAGTCTTTAATTCGGGAAATTGCATCGCCCTCATACTGTGATGTTTTTCAAAAATATAATTTAAGGAATGTTTAAACTATGCAAAAAATTGCATTAATTTATTAGGGGGTTGCCTCTAAATTTTCTTTGTGTGCGTACAGATTAAGGGAAGTTGGCACATAAAACAGCGGCGTAATGTGAGAAAATTTGATTTTTTTTTACGTATATGGCACATTTTAACCAAACAAAATTTGTCTTCTGTTTACGATCAAAATAATCTAATGGAAGTTTTTCTTTAAGAAAATTTTAATTAATATTTATTTTAAGTCTTAGTTTTTTCAGTGCACTAAATGTGACGTAAGTACCTACTTTTGAGAACTTTCTAAGCATATTTTACCAAATATCCCATACCCTCTTAAATAGCATAGTTGCTGCACCATGGGCTTACAAAAATAAACCTAAGAAATACATATTGTCATGCTATAAGTTGCAAGATGAAAACCTTAAACGCAAATTACGAATGTTCAACCTAAACCAATATTGAACTAAATGACACATTAAGAAAGCATTGTTACGGGAAATAGTTTCAGTATCGCATACAGAAGTTATTTACTGGCTATCTATTTGTGCTGTTATTAAACGACAATACTGTCTCCTATAATTATAGTTAAGTTCCTTAAAACAACACAGAGCAATCAAGCCATTAACAACCGTTTTTCAAATCCATGAATATTCTAGATAAAAATATAAAAATATACTGGATTCGAGATTCAAATTTTCTATATGCTCTAGTTGAGGGAATGATTGAGAACGAAGGGGAAAAATAGTAACAAACCTTGGTAATACTCTTGTACAAATTGAAACAAATAAATATTGACACTAAATTAAGCACAACACAAACTTAAAAATATACTCGTTATGAATATATTATTCAGACAATTCTTACTGGTCCATTTTATTACCCTGTATCACAGCTAAAAGATTCGCTGCTTTAAAGGCAAACCGATAATTATGTACATTTACCGTATTTTACTTTTCATTGCTAAATCAAAACATAATTTTTTTTATGGTATTCAAAATACACTAAATTAATCAGGGCAACGAAATAGACCAGACTTTAAGTAACTACGGGATAAACGTTTAAGTAACTTACATAAGTAAACCACAATCCTTCAGGTTGTTTTTAATGATAACATCAGTGACAGAATCGAAAACAAACTGAATGTTACTCGTATCGGTCGCACAAGTAAAGTGCGTGTAAATTTCTTTTTGATCCTTTCGTCTATTGAGATTTTCAAACTTCATTCGAATGTAGGCCGAAGCCTCTTGATATGTATTCGGCCCATCATATTCAGGAAAGCAGATAGTTAAAGGACTTCGAGCAATTTTTTCCTCGAATAGATCTTTCTTGTTTAGGAAAAGAATTATTGAGGTTGTAACAAACCATTTACTGTTACATATTGAGTCAAAAAGCTTCATTGATTCCACCATACGATTCATTTCTTCATCTTCAGCCAGAACCAAATCGTAACCTAATTAAACATGATTCCATATGTAAGTGAAAGTTGAAGCCAAATAAAAAATGTTTTTAGTAAATTTTACGGAAAAAAGTTTTTGCATGGTCTAAAACCATCAGCTATTGACTTTAAGTTAAATGCGAGGTTTACTCAAGGGTAACGTAAAAGCCGACTTTTATCGAAAACAATTCAGAATTGAAGTTTACATTTTTCCATTCTAACACCTAGAGAATTGGTAAGTAGGATACAGTAATTTGCTTACCTGATAAAGCAACGCAAAATATAATGGCAGTCACTCCTTCAAAGCAATGAATCCATTTCTTCCTTTCCGACCTTTGCCCGCCCACATCAAACATTCTGAAATTGATGAATAATTGTAACTTCTAAACATTAATTGTAAGAACTGCCACTTACTTAAAATGCAAATTTTTGAACGAAAAATCAGTCTCCACAATTCCCGTGGTCTTGACTCTCGTCCTCAACACATCCTGTTGAGTAGGAACGTAATTCTTCTGCGAGATTCTATCAAGGGAATTCAAATAATACGCAGCGGAGTCATTCAAGAGATATTCTCGAGATCTTGAGAAGCAAAGCTGCACACCAGGGTCTTGCCAAAGGCGTTTCATCAACATTACCAAATCTGGGGTCAGTTCTCCTTCCTCAGCCGCGCTTGCATAAGTAAAGAACTGCCTGGCTACATCCTTTGAATAGTTAATTGAAATGTGTTAAAATATAGAATATTTTGTTGGTAAAAACTTAAATGGGTTATTCCTTCGTAGGCAGAAGTTTGTGGATTTTTAACCTGGATTGCTACCATAGAATTGACGCATTCGTCGAGTGAACCAGATAAATCGTCAATTTCTCGAAAAAACTCTATGGACAGATGAATCTAACTCAACAAAAGTTGGAGTTTTTGACGCAACTAAGGAGAGTGGTTGGATGTGATTTATCCATGTCGATGAATTGAACGGCAAGCCAAATATATTGACTTAAGGCCACACTTGCGGATCTGAACCATCTGGATTACTTTGTAAAAAAATGATCGAAAGAATAAACGCACGGTTGTTTGAGCACGTGTATCGAGTCTGAAGGAATGTAGTTTGGGGAACTATTGTAATATATTTAGAAATGTTTTCCGGGCTTTGAAGCCGTGGTCTATCGGAATTTCTTCCTGACGTTTCGTCCACAACTGCGGTGGACATTTTCAAAGGCGAT